CACGGCGTGGCAGCGCAGCACCACGGCCTTGTGGCGCGCCTGGTGGCGGTAGACCCAGGCGAAGACGCGCGGGTGGCGCCCGTCCGCGGTGCAGTAGGTGATGCGCGGCAGCAGGTAGGCGTGCGCCGGCCGGCGGCCCCCCGAGCCCCCCGAGCCCCCCGAGGCGCCGCGCTCGCACGGCTGCATGCGGATGCCGTGCGGCCCCAGCGTCAGCTTCATCTTGGTGCCCCCGCCCGGCCCGCAGCGCGCCCAGATCTTGCCCACGGCGTCGTCGGTGCAGCCGTCGCCCTTGGCGTGCAGGGTGACGGCGTTGCCCAGGTACCACACGGTGTAGGTCGGGTCCTCCTTGTTGAGCTCCACTTTCTGGCGCCGGCTGCGAAACACGCGGCCCAGGCGCTCCAGCGGCCAGTCGGGCAGCAGGTCCGGACAGGAGCGCAGGAAGCTGGAGAGTAGCGACGTGTAGGCGAGTCCCGGACTCAGGCTCTTCGCCTTGCACTTGGCCTCGTCCTCCACCAGCACGAATTTGTTGCGTCTCCAGGGCAGCATCGCGGCGGCGGCGGCCAAAGGGGCTGGGGGCACCGGGAGCTCACGGGCGTCCTGGCCGGCGGCCGGGGGAGGGGAGGGCGAGCAGAAGCCCGCGGCCCCGGGGTCGCGAGCAGCTGGGCGGCGCCGGAGCCAGTCGGTGCCCGGAGATGCCCGGTGCCCGGCCGGGCTGGCAGCCGAGATGCCGGGGCGGCGGCCGAGCGTCCGGGAACAGCTTCCCCCGGGAGTAGCTCCAGCCGTCCGGGAAGCGAGGAGGGGAGGGGGACTGGGCGTGGTGGAGGGGCCCCCCGGGCCTGAACTGGGGGGGGGGATCCCGCAGTCCCCGCCGCCCAAATTGCGGCGGCAGGGAGGTCGCCGGAGCTGGGGTTGGCGGCTGGCCGCTCGCAGGGGTAGACCGAGAGCGCGAGACTGCGGTGGGGACTCCTTCAGGCGTCGCGGCTCCACCTCCCCGGGCTGCCTACATCACCGGGCGGGACCGCTAGCTCTCTTGTCCCCTCCCCTCGCCCTCCTCTCTCTCCTCCCCCGCGCCGGCTAGCGCTGCTCTTCGCCCGGGACCCGGCACAGGCGCGGTGGAATGGGATTAATCATTCTTATTGGAGGGGTGGGGATGGAGGGGCAGTTAAGGAGTAGGAATCTTTTGAAATGTACCGGAGGGCTTTGCTAAATGCACATTTTCCTGACCCCCGTGGTGGTCTCCACGCTCCCCTTGGCGCATTCGGGATCCCCCTCCTCTCTCCAGGATTCCTGCTGCCTGTCAGTCACTGCATGTCCCTACCCCCATCTCTGAGAGCGCTTTTGGGTGGGTTCCTGATGGGGCTGGCCAGGCGCACTTGGCCTCCTGTCTGCACAGCAGAAAGCCAGCTGAGGTGGCCGAGCTGTGCAGTGGAAAAGTACTGTCGCTTGGTGAAGCTTTCTCCTCGGTTCTTCCAAGGTCATGGGCCAGGCCGCTGCGCCTGATCTAGGAGAGCAGTCACTGCTCTGGTGCCTGATAGAGCCCCTCGCCTGGCCTGAAGCAGGAGGGTACTTTTTCAGGGTGGGGGAATGTTCCTGAGCAGTCCTGGGTCTTCGGGAATTGCATCTGACAAGCTCCCTGTGGCCAAAGGGCTGCCTCTGGGCCCTCTGAGGATTAAATAGTTAAGACTCCTGTTTGTGAATGCCAATCCTGCTCCCGAAAGCCCTGGGGTTTTGCATTCATTTTCTCCTTTAATCCTCAGAACAGCCCAGGCTCAGTTAAGTGCTTGCCCAAGGTCAAAGGGCTAGCAGGAGGTGGGACTTAGTGCTCTGCTCAGGTTTGGCTGACCCAGAAGCAGGCCCTCACCCTTCTAGGAGTCCACGAATGCTGCATCTAGATGGGCATTTTCCATCTTCCCCTGTGACCCATCAGTGGGGGCTTTAACTGGGGAGGGGGACTGAAGTACTGGGAAAGAGACAGTTGTCCCTAGGGGTAGGGGATGCATCTCCCCCTTTCAGGATTTGTTAAGCCGCAGGTTCTGTAGAATCCCAGGTCGGCTCTGATGGGGCCCAGGAGTCTCACGACCTTGGGCTCTCACACAGCCAACATCCAGGCTCTTTCCTTGGCTTCAGAGCAGGTCATATGGGGAGTCTTCCAGGTCAGGAATGAGCTCAGAGGCTTGGGCCCGGCCAGGCAAGCCAAGTGACCTCTGGGAATTGGGGCAGTGGGAAGACTGTGTGTTCAACATTCAGGGTCGGCAGGCACCAGGAGTGAGTGGCTGGGTTCAGAGTCCTTGGGGGAATAAAAGTAAAAAAAAAAAACCCAACCAACCAAACAAAAAAACCTCCCAAACACCCCCCCAAAACGAAACAAAACAAACCCCACCGCAACTAGGCTGCATCACTGAATGCTCCTAAAATGACATGCAAATAAAGAACAAGCAATTACTTAGAATTGCAGAATCTTAGCTTTGGAGGGGGCCTCACAGATGATCTAGTCTACTGTGGCCTCATTTTATTTTCAATATGGAAATGTCATTGCTTTTTAGTGATTATAAAAGTAATACGTGCTTGTGATCAACAGTCACCCAAGAAGGACATGGAAGCCTCCCGCTGTTCCCACCCTGTAGATGTGGCCTCATTTCCCCACAAGAGAACAGGCTCTGAAGGCACAATGGGGCTTCATTTGAGTGCTTTTCGTGGGGCTAGATTTGCCCCTTGGGCCAACGGAGACATTAACTCAACCAACTCCTTTTATAGAAAAGACTTGAGGTGGTTTTGACTGAAAGGTAGCTCACTGAGAAATCCTGCTATTTCCTGCCTTGGGGTCTCCTGAGTCCACCCTCTGGACCTCACTGCCTTGGGCGAGGGTGCCTTGTATCCCCCTCTTGGGAGGGTGCTGGTGGGAGTGGCCAGCAGCGAAGTATCATCGTGCAAAACTGAGATACCTCCAAGCCTCTTGAGGTTGCTCGGTTCACATACAAGGATGCAGGACTCACAGAGTTAAATTTGAATTTCAGATAAACAACAATTTTTTTGTATAAGTAGGTCCCCAGGATTGCATGCCTTTTATCTGGTCGCTAAGCCTCCTGCCTTCCAGAGAAGGAGAGATCAAGGAGCTGCAGGTAAGTGTGCAACCTTGAGTGCCTTCACTGCCTCCCTAAGCTTGCTCACCTAGTCCTGGTAGCATGGCTTCTGTTCCCATTGCCTTTGGGAAATCCTCTCTGGAGGGTCACCCGGGGCTCTGTGAGATCAGTGTGCAACAGTCTGCTTTTATGTTAAGTCCCCTGGACCTCAAAGCAGCATTTGACATTGTGAGCCCTTTTGTTATCTTGTTCACAACTCACTTAGCCTCATTGGGACAGGGATTCCCACCTCCCCCCACCCCCGGACCACACCTCACTTGGGGGGGCTCCTCCTTACACTCCCAGGCTTGGTCTCAGACCTTCTGCACTTCTGCCAACTTTGGTCCTTTAGAGGGCTCAGTTGCACCCAGAGCGCCACTGTCCTTTCTATTCACATTCCCCTCACTCAGGTCCTTGGTAAGAGCTCCCAACTTTGCATCAGCCATCATTGCTTTACGGACTGGTGTGCAGTTGGATTTTTTTTTTTTTTTGGTCCTTTTTCCACTCATTTTTATTTCTATCATATTGATACTTGTATTATTTTTATTTTAATTTTTTTGATACTTGTATTATTTTTAAAAGTCCAATAGCTGCCTAATAGTAGGCTTATACGTGAAAGGAGATCAGTCTCCTGCTCTACCTTCCCCAGTCTCAATTCTTACTTTTAAACACAACCGCTCTTTTACACATTTGAGATGGCACTATTGTCGTTGGCCTCCATGTTTTTAAATAACACATCTAATTCACTTTCTAGTTTTTAAAACTTTATCTATTGCCCACCTCCTACGGAAGATGAAGATTTGATGCCTTTTGATCTACCCCATCACACACATTTTTCCTCCCCCCTTCCTCCCAGTATTAGTCCAAACATTTTGTTGTCATTGTTCAGTGTTCAGTGCTTAATTATTATGATCTTGCAAACATTCAAAGCTGAGCCTTGAAGTGTGTTATGATTCCATTTACCTTATTGGACAACTGTTTCGCTTTTCCAGAAACAGGTAATTGCATTATTAAAAAAAAAAACTTCCTTATGTACTGTACCTATTAACTAATTCAGCCCCCCACTGTCCAACCTGGTTGAATGCACCAGGTGGTCTTTCAGTTCTGGGTGTTTCTCAGAGACATCCCTCCTGGAGGCATCCTCTCCGGCCTCCAATCTGCTCTGGTGACTCTATAGACTTAGCTCTACTTAGCTCTGCTACCATCCTGGGGAGTTTCTTTTGCCTGTTTACTGGGTTGGATCTGGTTTAATGGATCCCTTGCTTCTGCCCCACCCCCCACC